TAAGCGTCTAGTATTTCCTCTACTAGAACACAGAGTGACTCATCTTCATAGACAATCTCAGAGGCAGCTTCAGTGCATTCTGTTGAATTTCAACAGGTGGCTCTGTGGCGCCATCCGCTGTCGAAAACAACGCATTAAACGACGTGTCTCGTAAAACTTCTCCAAAAACAACTTTAAAATAATTTTTTAAAGTATATGTGTTTAATAAAAACAGTACATTACGTCATTGATTCTTTATACAGTAAAAAACAATAAGTGCTAATGACCACACCGACATACAAACTGAATGAATATTACCAAGGCAATGAATAAAGATAATGTAAATATTTGTTATTCCTGCGGGAACAATGCCCAGATTTATGACTTGAATATGTTCTAATGAAACGTTACACAGCTGCTGTCTGCCTGAAAATACAGCAGCATTGGCAGGTCTCTTCCTGAAACACCGTGTGCATATTAATATACATCATTCCAGTCTCAGCTGCAGCTTTATCTGCAGCTCTGCAGCTGGCTGAGGGTAAACACAGAGGCTCGGTTACTACGGTTGAGTCCCCCTGTTACAGCAATCCTACAGCTGAGAGGGAAACAGCTTGCAGACAGGAACACAGTGTAAACCAAGGGTCAAAGAACATTTTAAAGACCAAGTTGAATGTTGCTTTCTTAATTTAATTTCTTAAATTCTAGCCGTTTTTCCCCTCACCAGGCCTCCATTACAATGTTTTATTATTGTTATGTATTTTAATGTAAAAAGAACGATTTTAATTATTACATGTAATTAATGAGTTTTAATTTTCTCTCAACTTGATGATCGAAAGTACTCATTTTATTGTGAAGTTAACATTTTTGGCCTTTCTATTTTCTCTTAATCTTTTCCTTAACAGTGTATGTAACAATGTACAGTTTATCAGTTAAATATACCTCTTAATAATAATAATAATAATAATAATAATAATAATAATAATAATAATAATAATAATAATAATGGATTGCGTTTATATAGCGCTTTTCTAAGCGCTAGTATGGTGATGACAGCTTTCTTTAAAAGAGTGAAATTAGCAGTAAAGTGCAAAATCAGCTGTTTTAAATGTAAGTGTCTGGATTCGAGGATTCTGTCTTCCTGTGCTGATGTCTTTTATTATCCTAGTGATGCTGCCCATTAGCTTCATTGTGCTACTGAGTTATTGTTGAAGTTTTTGGTACTTGGTGGATTACTTTGAGGTTCCCTCAGTGTGGTGTTCTGATTCTGAGGGGGTCCAGTGGGAAGCACAATGTGAAAATTCTATGTCTTTCTACTTTAAATAATACTGTGATGCACGTTTAAAGATAGTAGACTCAATAAATGTAGAAAAAACGAGATGTAGTGTTGACATTGTAATGTTACTTTCTTTATCTGAGGTTAAAAATCACCTGTTTTGTAAATAGATCTTTACAAAAAAAAGTTTCGAGGAAGTGTAAAGGATTTCCCACTCATGTTTTTGTGGATTAAAGTTGTTTGTTTGTTTGTTTGTTTGTTTGTTTGTTTTAAAGCTCATATATGGTCCGCGTGAATGTTATCAAAAAGTACTTTTTTACACTTACAATAAGTAACTGACTTAAAAATAAATAAATAAATAAAAACAGGCTATTATGGGACAATTTTACTGTCTGATACTCGAGATCAGACTGAGCTGCACGTGGTTCATGAAGTAAAGTTTGTTTCCACGCAGAGTCAACGTCATGTCTAATTTCTGCCAAAAGAGGGCAGTGTTCTCTAAAAAACTGCCATATGTTTATTCATGAAGAAGTCAGAAAATATCTTCACAACATATTTGTTCTAGTGATGCAAACCCAGATACCAACACCAATGTTTCACTCAACAGTGCAATACCAATAATTTTTCCTGATGCTTAATTTGTTTGTTGTACTGTGTATTACTGTAAACAGTAAACTACATTAGTCCTGCAGTAAACCAGTTTACAGTAAACTTTAATAAAAAATAATATGATAATAATAATAATGTAAATGAAATTATCTTAATGGTAGTGCAAATTCCTGTGAAGTATTGTAAATGAATACAGCAATAATATTATAAACACATTTGCAATAAACCTTTCACAGTGTAACTTTGTGCTAAAATAAGGTCCCCTGAAGGTTAAACTTCCCCCACCATGTTTCCTCCTGCGCAGTCCACCCATAGATATTAACTCAGGGTTCTTACTGTGGTTGTACATCTTGATAAGCAACCCTCGTTTCTTTCCAGTTTTCTACTTTCATTTCACATCTGTCTCCTCGATCGTTACGATTTAGACTTCTCACCCATGTTAGCAGAGTCTGCTGAGCTCTTCTTCCCATGGGAAACATCAGCAGAAAAAAAAAAGTCCTAACAAGCCAACACCCAGCACACATGACAGAGCTGCTGTGGAGCTCAGAAGATCAAAGATCTGATTACAGGCCAGAAGAAACATTTTTAATGTGATAATCAGCCGTGCAGAGGCTTTGTTTCATATGAGGCTGAGAAGAAGTCTTGGTAGGAAAACACTTCCAGTAAATGCATGCACAACTCATGTGGACTGAATATTACCAGAGACACATGACCCGATAAAACACCGTCAAAGGCAACACCCACATTATTTTAAAAGATGAAAAGGTGTAATGGCGTGGAAAGCAAGACAAATATTGTTTGAGTTTCCTAAACAAAGTTCTTTCCCCATATTTCATTTTCTGTGTCCACCCTCTTTATGAAGGACATAAAGGTCTCACAGTCCTTTACCAATCTGGACTTTTACACATATCTTGTTGTTGTTTTGGTTATAAACATTTATGGGTTGCAAACAGCATACATACTCTTATATCACAACAAAAATGGGCATATTTCTAATACTTACATGGGATGAACACTGATATCCTGGATGATGGGAGGAAAAATAGAAATATAAAAACTTAGAAACAAAATCTTATTCATGATAAATGTCTTTGTTTAGGATGACAGTCAACTCATCTTCAGAGCTTCCGAGCTATGCAGCGACTAAACCTCACACCTCTGAAAATGCTGCTGCGAATCTTCTAATAGGCTCCATTTAAAGATTAATCAACTACATTCTTGGTTTGAAACAACTCAAAACTCTCATTTTATATGATGAATGCTCTCTATATACACTTTTTTGAAAGTAAAAGTCTCATGGAGATTGAGAGAGTAGCATTGACAAAGAGAAACATTTTCACAATCCTTAAAAAGCTAATAATTTCAGGTTCTTCTGGGATTATTCCGGAAAATGGGGGCAGCGTTTTTAAAAGCTTGTTTTCCGAGTTGTGTCCGTAAATGCTGGAAACACTAATAATAATATGTTGAGAAAGTAAAGGCCACACTGATTATGGTTATTACACATGTGTACAGTACATGTACACAGATAACAGGGAAGTCGTCCATGGTGACATTTAATATAAAAACAAACCAATGGCAAACATACAGAGACGGACATTTAGCAGCAGCAGCGTAGAGAACAGTGATGTACATGATTTAGACTAATAATAATAAACGTAAAGCACAGTGGCACACACTATCTAAGTTCCTTACTGATACCGAGCAACTGCATTTACAAACAAATGACCCTGATCCAGTAAAGACAGAAGTTATATCTACCTAATTTACTTTCTTACTTATTTTCTCATCCCATAAACAAATCATAGTCACGTTTTCCAGGTCATACTTTAGGAAAATGTTTACAAATGTCAAATTCAGGCATTTTTTCTTTATATGACATAAAGAGAAAATGCCTGAATTTGACATTTGTAAACATTTTCCTAAAGTATGACCTGGAAAACGTGACTATGATTATGTTATGTTATGATGGGGAAAGCACTTTTTAGAAAACTGCAGAGAAAATTGGAAATGTAAGTCTGAGGTCTGTAAAATGACATTTAAAGGAATAAAAGGGCATAATTATATTTTGGAATATGCTTGGGACATTTTCAGTGAAGGTGAAAACTGGGATTAAAAGTGGAAATTGACAAAACCAGCAAATATGATTAGTCTCTTTTTTTCCTGTTAATCTCTGTTTTGTATTGATGAAAATGAAGCCCCTGATAGGGTGCTAAGAACTGCTAAGAATATATGTTTAACTATTTTTTTAGACCACCTGCCATAAAAACAAGAAACAAATAATTTTGAAATCTGTACAAAAAATATGTTTAACACTAAAAACTATATTGTTATTTAGATGCCAAATAAACAGAATTTAAGTTTTTATACTCTGAGAAGTCAGAAAATAATTAAGCATAAAATTAATCCACTAAAACTAATTTTGTATTCAAGCACGCAAGTAACTAAGTGGAATGTAGCATCTTAATAAAAATAATAATAATGATGCGCTTCACGAGCAATTTGGAAATTTAAGGATAACAGCAAAAATTATACTGAAGCATTATAATATAGGAAAGTGTTTGTGGTGGATTAGGCAGTACAGAACATTAAAAATATAAATTGGAAATGGCTAATATTTAGGGCAGCTGTGGCATATACATAACACTGGGTGGTGGTCTAATAAATTTGTTAAGTACTGTACACATTACAATAAAGCTTGATTATTTTAATTTTTTATCAGCTTTTTGTAATCCTGTTGTTGCTTTGTTGCTTAATTGTACATTTGATATATGTATTTAAACAGAAAAGAAAAGCAAACAAACACAAGAAATAAAAGAATAAAAAATTAGTTTCTTTCAAATGCTGTTAAATGCTGTAACCTTTGAGTATTCAAAAATATTCACATATATTTATATATATATATATATATATATATATATATATATATATATATAAATACATATATATATATATAAAATCTGATCGTTTAATGTTGACATAAATGGCATTCCATACAACACTCCCCCTTTCCCCACAAAAGTTAACTACGGCCTCGCATATACTCATGCGATTGGAGGTAAAGGAATAACGGGGCGTGGTCAAAGCAATGGTAACCTGACACCTGCTCCACGCGCTGCTAACCAGCCACCACAGAGCAGCAGGCAGGCAGTCCGTCAGTGAGTGGCGGACTGTTGGGTCGTTGTTTCACTGTGTGTCTCTGTGCTGTAATGGACCTCTTGTGTTCTTTTCTGTGATAAAATCATGTCCCATTAACGGATTCGTCTCGCTGGTTCTGGAGTTAAATTAAACCCTGGTGCTCCCAGCGCTTTGGAGAAAAATGGAAGCAGTGAGCAAGTGGAACCCGCAACAAGTGGTGGAGTGGATGAGAGGTAAGGCTGCTGAAGAGTAGGAACTAACTACATCCAGTGGGTGGGAGTGGTAGTGGGGTGGGGGCACTTTTCGGAGGGAATTAGCGGTTCTTTGGGGGGCAGAGAGGAGAGTTAATGGCTAACTGTAAAGTTCTGCTTTTCCCGGCCTTAACCTACTTGTCATGCAGGAGTTTTCTTGATCTTTATGGATCAGTGTCGGCCCCATAAACTGCAAACAGTAAAATCTACTACTTTTATGTGTGTTTTTTTTTTTCTTTTTAAAAAATTAATATTTTTAAAGACGTTTCTAGTTTATAGCTAATTGGGAAGCTTGTGTCTTGGAGGAATGTTTGCTTTTAGATTTAAGGAGTTTACAGCATGTATATATTTAGTCAGAGCTAAATTCACATACAACAGGTAAATATAATTTTTCTTAAAATATCTGAAATTGTTTGAATATTTTACTATAATCTAATAATAGGTTTTCTACTATTTCTTCCTTTTATTGATATGTTTTACTTCTGTTTGTGTTGTGTATGATGTAGTAGACCTGTACTACTGGAAGCTTGCAGTCCTGTTTGCAAAGTACCCTTAAATAACAAAAATGGGGAAAAAACTTGATTTTTACACCATGAGCTGATAAAAGTATATGTTACCTTTAAAAAAGCAAAAGTATTGTAGTAGTCAGGCAAACCTAGCTACATGGTTGAATAGTTTATAATGCATGGCTCTCATGTTTGTAGATTTGCCAATATGTAGATGATAGTGGATTGTATATTAATGTATTTCTAATTACATTTTGTTTATATTTATGAAAATAATCATTTTGTAGTATTAAAAGTTGTCTAAGTGCAGCCACAAAGGTGTTCTTAACAACACCCTCATTTACTAAGGGAAGTAGCATTAGCCCCGACAGTGGCGAACAGTGTTAGAAAGTAATATATAGTTGGCTAGATAGCAATAACTTGCCTATGCTGTGTAAATCTGGTGACGTTTAGAGACCATAAGAGAGAAAGACATGGTGCTAAAATAATCCTGAATTGATTGGATATTTGGATTTAGGCTATGGTTACCATGTAAGCCCCTGAGATTGGATATAGAAGCCAACCATATCTGCTCATATTTTACTACATGGCCACATGGCTGGGTTTTCATTTGATACCAAAAAACTAAACACCCTATATAAATAAAATGCACGGTTTATGTAGACGATGGCTTTTTGATATTAACTTATTCTCTTTCTTGTTCTCTAACATTGAAACTTTTAAAAGCCAGTGTGAAGCCAAATCAGTTTTTTTCTCTTTTTGTGGCGTTCATGTTGTTGTTTGAAGTTACTATTTAGTGGGCTACATTTCTAAGCAAAGAGAGGTACCTAAGATTCTCAGGAAGGTCTAACATTTTAATTTATTTAATTTAGTTACTCGTCATATAAACACTGGCAATAAGAAACATTTATTATGTGAAAAGCATTTCTAAAGCACATTTAAGTAAGAATGCAGAAATTCTACTTGAGAATATACTTGAAAACTTGATTATTGTTATTTTGCAATATAATTTTAGTTTGTATTTAAGAATGTGACTGAAAAATGAACACAGTCGAAACACAAATTAAAACAAACAAAAAAAATCCCTTAAATCCCAAGTATAGTGCAGGTTAATTTGACTTGAACATTGTTGGCTGACAGACTGTCTGATAAGGAAACACTCTGTGGTGGTTACAGTGTTGTTTACTGACTGTGGGATTTGCACTCCCACATTCACTGAGCCAAGTATTCATATTCATCACTAACAGTGTTGTTAAGCAATAAACAGGCATGACCTGTTAGCACATCTGCCATAAAACGACACTCACACTGTTTTAACCTACCGGGACGTGACTCTTAGCAGATGACTATCATTTTATTGTTTTTATTATTAATTTTATTATATTATTCAATTTTCATCATAAATGCATAAAGTACTTTATTGAAAAGCAGTTTATCGCCATGGTTTTAAAAGGCCAGTATGTAGCTTTCCTGGAAAAAACAGAAAATTCCTGTGTAAAATGACCCATTATAGGAAAATTTAGGAACAAGTTCAGGGAAACTATTTTAATTGTATTTTCGACCTTTTAACCCCTCTGAAGTTGATAAGTTTGATAACCTGGGAGTTATTAATGTATTAATAGTCTGATATCTGAGGTAAACTAAGCAGACTGGGATAATTAGCCAAGTCAGTGAGCCTCTGTTGCCTTACTGTGCATTTTCCTGTATTCCAATCCTACTCTGAAAAACTGTTTATTTAAAAACAAAACAAAAGAAACAACGCAGGACATTTTCCTGCCAGAATGTCTTTATATTCATACCATAAGTGAAAAAAGACTTACATACCAAGGTGTAATGACATTCTTATCAAACTCTTTAAACCAATATCAAATCTCTGTAAAAGTTGTCCTATGTTTTTATTTTTAATAATAATAATAATAATAATAATAATAATAATAATAAGAAGAAGAAGAAGAAGAAGAAGAAGAAGAAGATTTGTAATTTTACCTCCCTGGGTCATTGTGGAGCATCTCAGCCTGTGTTTGTATGCGTTTATTACACTGCTGAGAGAAAACCATTCAGTCTAGCTTTGCTTCAGTATGCACACATACAGTCATTCACATGCGCACTGGCCATTTAGCAGTAAAGACAGTGCAGAGCTAAATGCAGTAAAGTGGTGGGCCTCCTGTCATGTGCTGGGTGAAAAGGTCAACGTGATGCTGGAGGTGCTATTAAACCAAATCTGACTATGTGACTTTGTTCTGCGTGAAAATGAATGACAGACACGTGAGCGTCAGTCCCATGGTTTGATGGCAAATGACAGTGAAAAACCTCAGATTTTACATTTGAAAGGCTTCAAAGTGTTTTGTTTTGTTTTCTTAGAAAATAATGGAGTTGTTTACTTAACTGTCAAAGTGGTTATCAGGATAATTTTCCTTTATTTTCCAAAGTTAAAAAGACATGAGTTTGTAAAGTGGCAAACAGAAGCTTAGAAATGAGATGTGTTGTTGGCTCTGATCCTGCTGTAGTATTGACAGAGTGGATTGCTGCCGCTGGGTGAAGGCAGTCGGGGTGTGTATTAGGTATCTTTGCTCGACTCATGCGATCCAAGCTAGAGGTTCTTTTCATGGAAAGTACGTTCAGTCATCTTGACTGTAAAATCACAAGCAGGCTTCCAATGAATTTCTCCACCTGACCTCCAACTCAAGCCATTTTTTCAGTCACTCTGGTTTCTTATTCCTCTGCTCTTAGTTTTGCTGTCTTTTTACATAGACTGTATAGAAAAAAGGACAGCTTCCAGGCCTAAAAAGTCAAGTCATTGAGGAAGTCTCTTAAACATGGATCCCTTTCAGTGGCCACCAGGGGGCACATCCAGTTTTTTTTTTTTTATCAGTGTTTCCCACAGGATTTCATTGCCTTTGTGACTGTAGTAAGGCATGTGTAGACTTGTGTCTAGGTGAATAAATTATACCATATGCATTCTCTGAAAACAAATAACAACCCAATAATCAGTCTAGAGCAGGGCAATATGACCAAAAATATTTATCACGATATACATTTGAAGATTTGTGATAACTGACGATATAATTGACACTAGACAAAATACTTTACAACTCCACAACTTTATTAGTGCAAAAAAAACAACCCCCCATCAATGTATTTTCACTTAAACAAGCAGCTGTTTTTTTTTATGTGCATTAAAGTTATATAAAAATGTAACAGTGCAAATTCCTTGCTGACAGTTTAACCAAAAAGGCATTTCCGGTGGAAATTGGCCGACATATCCTCAGCATAACCATGTATAATATCCACAAAACTTAAAAAGAGGTTATACACACACAATACGGTAATATTATGTTGAAGCACAGTACATAAGAATTCATACATAAGGCACACGGGATTATAAGGGGCGCTGACGATTTTCAGAAAAATCAAAGGATTGATTTTAAGTGTGCCGTATTTTCCAAAAAAACACGGTAATAACGACGGCCGGCTAGCACGCTCTACCAAAAATAGTGCTTTGTTGTGTATCTGACGGACGAAAGCTAAACCAGTTCCACACCACTGAAGTTGCAGCATTTTTACAAACCAGTTCTGATTCATCCGTTTCAATCAACAATCTGCTTTCGACGCTATGCTTTTTCCGCCATGTGCATATGAAAACAAAGGCACTGCGCATGCGCGTTTTACCCACATTCTATCGCGATATTTCATTTTCCTATCGTTGCCCAACATTACACCGGTATTACCATGAATGTATGTTATGGCCCAGCCCTAAATCGGTCCATCCTCCTGTAAAATAAAAAAATCTATTACCTAACTTTCCATAGCTAGAAATGTTCCTAATGATTAAAGGTGGGTAAGAATTGTGTCATCAGGTCTCATTTATTTATTGATCATGTTGTCTCAGACAGACAGTTTAGTAGTGGGCAAACAACTTGCCCTTAATTTGAAAGTTGTGTTGCTAAGCAGGTTAAAGGGTCCTTCCCTTCTCGTGTTTCCTGACGAGGAGCCTGCTTGGATTGCTGTTACGGCGGTCCTTGATGTCAGTCCACTGTCTCAAGTATCTTGCTTGAGTGGTCAGTGGTCACAGACGCCATCTCCAACATCTTGGACCGCAGATGGTGGTTATAGTTCTTGTTCTACTCTGGAGATCGCACTCCAACTCCATCTTGTTCAGCAGTTTTCATGGTAGTCGCTGCTCGCCTCTGCAGCATTGAGCTCAGCATAGCGTCAGCAGTTCTCCACCTGCTACAGGTTGGAATGCAAGTGTGGCCCACCAGCTCGTAGTGGAGGTCAGGCACATTTAGGGGAAAAAAATTGGGCTTAAAGACACAATTTTTATCCATCTTTAACCATCAGGAATATTTCTAGTTATTAAATGTTGGGTAGTAGATTTATAGGCTGTGTTTTCATACATTTCATCTGAAATGCTTCTGTTTCATCTTCTAATCAAACCATTGCTTTCATGCTTTCTCTTCTATTTAAATCAACATT